CCCACAAATAACATCGCCAGCCTTGGTCCAACCCAGTCTCTGCCCTAAAAAACATGGTTGTTTGTTGGAAATCTATTGTGCAAAAGCTATTTGTTATTGTCTACTTTAATCTTCCAAGCAAATCCTAGGAGGTGGGCCAGTCTTGCGTTGTAAACTATGACATGTAAGAAAAGGTAGGTCTCCTGAAACCACCCGGCTCTTGGCTGGCCTCACGGTCAAGTCCAGGCCCTTCTGACTGCGAGACATGTTCTGGCCCCGCCACCTTGTGTTACCTTAAAAGGGCTCGATTTTTTTTTTTTAAGTTTGTGCAAAGGTAACTTGACCTTCCTCCATCCCCCACCCCCCGGCACCCCCCAAAAAAACCCAGCCCTCCAGTGTGCCAGCTGTCACCCTGAACTGTAGGTATTTGTTCCCGGGTGAAACAGGCTACCTTGATAGCAAAGAGCTGTTCTTTTTAACTTTTTATTAGGAAAAATTTCAAACTTATACACCATGACTGCCGGGTACCCATGGCCCAGCTTCCACAACTATAAACCTCTGTCTTTTTTTTTTTTTTCTTTTTCAGACCAAAACCATTTTTTTATTGTGGTAAAAACACAGAACATAAAATGTACCACTTCGGCCATTTTTCAGTGGCCTTAAGCACCTTCACAGAGTGCCCCCATCACCGCCATCCAGCTCTGGAGCCTTTTCCATCTTGCTAAACTGAAACTGTGCAACAGCAGCCCCCCAGCCCCTCCACCCTGGCCGGGGACTCCTCCATTTCTACTTTCTTCCCTGTGAAGCTGGCCACTCTAGATATAAGTGGAATCAGTGTTTGCCTTTTGTTACTGGCTTATTTCACTAAACGGGGGCTCATCGAGGTTCATCCATGTTGTCACGTGTCAGAAATCCCTCCCTTTTTTGAAGCTGAATTGTATTCCACCATGTGGATATTTGTGTGTCCGCCCATCTGAAGTCACTTGGGCTGGAAGACAGCTTTCGGCGATTATAAAAGCTGTTGTGAGCACAGCCTCTACCATTCGTGTGTCATCTCTGTCTTCATCCACTCCCCAAACCTTGGTAATACTAAGAATGCCAATTCTTACTTACTCCTCAGAGCACTATTTTGTTCACCTTTGTATTCCCCTACTACACAGCTAGTAATATTACAGTAGATGCGTAAAAAATGGGCAGATGAATCTTCCAAAATTATTGATTTTTTTAACTTGTAAGCAAGGTCCATAAACACTTCTCTTTTTTCTTTTTAAAGCTCTAGTTATGCACACAGGAACTGGGATACAGGTCAGAGGTGTGGAGGGTGAGAGGATTCACCAGAGACAGAGTGGGGAACAGAACAGGCGGATTGACTGAAATACCCTGCTGAGGGGAGCAGCGGGCCAGACAATTGGGGTCTGCTGCTGATATTTGTTGGAAATCTATTGTGCAAAAGCTATTTGGTTATCATCTACTTTAATCTTCCAAGCAAATCCTAGGAGTTTGGCCAGAGAGGTCTGCTGCACCATGTGGGCAGCTCCCTGGCCGGGGATCGAACTCGTGCTGCAGTGGCTGCGTCTTAACCCCTGCGCCATCAGGGAGACCCCACTTTTCTTTTTTCTTATCAGTGTCATCGTGTACATACAATTAGGTAAAAATCAAATTTGTGAAGGAAAATAGTAATGTACTACTTTGAATGTAGGTCAACAGGAAAGAAAGGCTGCTGCTGAAGCACCTGATGGGAGATTTTATTTTTCTGCCAGTACCCGCGATGTTGTGGACAAGAGCCACTTGTTTCTGGAAGTATCAGAAACTTTTGAGATCACCAACTTCACCTGTTAACTCATTAGTGATGGAATTTTCCATTGACTCCATGTGTCAGGAAAATAGTCAGAGAGTAAGCCTTGTCTTTTGTGACAAAGGCCTTGGTAGGGTTATGTGGCTGTGCTTTAACTGTCCTTTGGATCATAGATGGAAAACTCCACTAATTCGACGTCAGCTGCAATGACGTCATAGCCTGGCTGTCCTGAATTAATGTCGCCACCAGCCAGTAGCCCCTGCGCCTAGAGTGTCACCTAAGAAGACAAGAGATTTAATCAGCCTAATAGGAGAACTTCTTACCAGGAGGGAATTAACAAGACACCGTGCCTTACTCTCCTCCGCTGGGGGTGGGCCACCGGGGGGAGATGGCTTGGCACCCAGTGCTGTCTCCGAGGCCCTGGTGCTTTGAATGTCCACCAGGAGAACTGGAGAGCCAACTTTAAAGAGAGCCCTCTGGCTCCCTGCATCCAACTGAGGGCAGTGAGGGCTGAGGTCTCAGAGAAGAGCCTAGTGAACAATGGGCCAGGTCCCTGCCAGTGTCGGCGTGACTGTAAACACCGACTCTGCCATTTATGGGTCATGTGACCTTGGCCCGTTGCCTTAGTTTAAGATTAGGTTTTTGCCTGGGGTTATTGGTAGGTGCATGGAAGGTGGGCCCTCTGTGCCTGCTGCCTCTCAGACTGCCACACAATGTCTCTGCCTGTCCGCAGAATTAGGGCAGAACAAGATCAGTAAACTGTAAGACTAAACATAGTAATTAGGATAGAATGGTTGTGTTGAATGGGGGGGATTCGCTCACCTAACTCCTACTCACCCTTCCAGGCTCCACTGAAATGCATCCACTCGGCCCTATTCTGACCAGCTGCCCTGGAAGGAATAGAATTTTCTTCTGACTCCTGTGGCTATTTTGTGCCCACTTCACCCCAGTAGCACCGCCCTGTCTGGGAGGATTTGTTTCTCCATGTCTGCCTGACTCCACTGCCATTGTTCTTCAGTTCTTTGCAGACCCCTTCCCCTCCCACCCCCCACTGGAGATTTACCCACTGACAAATCTTTCCCATTTACACCATTTTTATGGCACAGACATCTGACCAGGGGGATGTCACCTCCAGTAAGTAGACAACAGGCTCCAAATGGTCCTGTCTCCCCAAAGATGAGATTCTATCTGCTCACGTACAGCTAAATCCTGCCTCCAGCTGGCCTTACACACAGATCTGGTGGCAGACTCTCTGGCAGCATCTTGGTGCTCCTCAGCTTCTCCTGCCGGGCAGTGCTGGGCCTCGGCCACAGGAGTGGCTGCTACAACCCCAGTGGGCATTTCCCCCAAGCTGCACCAGTGTCCCTCATGTGGCATCCTGACCTGAGACTTCACCATCAGGCCACAGGGTGTCTCAGCCATCTCAGGACCCCAGGACTCCTGTGATGGGACCAAGGTTAAGCTCATTCTGTGGGTCTTTAACCAACATCCCTGAGCTCTACCTGGGGATTGGTCTCTGGGCTGTCCCCAGGGAGGACAGGGAGGAGTCCAGCAGTGACTCTCAAGCCCCTGTCACACAGGACACTGGTGAAGAATCGCTGAGCACCCAAGCGGACACAGAGCACCGTTTGAAAGAGGCTGGTCCAGGTGGAAGGAATAGAACTGGCAAAAGCAAGAAAGTGGATATGGCATGTGATCAGGGGCACATTTGAGCATAAGGTCGGTGGGGCAACAGAGGCAGGTGGCACAGAAGGACTCTGAGCCAGCTTAGGATGACTTTGTTTGCCCAGCGAAGGGTCTAGGACTTTCTTTCCTTTGCCACCCAGGACCGCTGTGTGTGGCATACCTGCTACCAGGTATACAGTGTTGAGCAAAAGAGCTGCCATTCCTGCCCACATAGACAGTTCCCACATAGACAGTGAAAGTTTGCATTATTTCCCTTCTTGCTTCTGCTGCCAGGAAGCTCAGAGCTAATTTTATAACTTAACTTTAGAAACCATCAAGGACCTGCATGTCCAGATGCTATTCCCAAGTAAACATGTTGTATATGTTTATGTACCTTCCAGCCCTGATTTCTTTCTTTTAGGTGCTCAGTAAGCTGCCTCAGATCCTTTGTAAACTCTGGTAGGGTGTAACTATCTAAAAATAAGTATTCCCCTCACCCTAAATTTTTTGGGTCATGCTCACCACCCTTGTGCAATAAGCCTGCCCAGTTGCTGAGCTAATATTGGCCAAATGTAAGCAGGAGCAAATCTTGGAATTTACAGCAGCCAGACAGTGCATTTAACACTCACGTAACTCATTAAAACAGGATAAAAGTGGAGCTTCAAACATCTCTGTGTTTGCCACCAAATCTGTGAAGGGAGGGGTACCTTTAATTCAGTGCAGGCTATAAAAGTCTGATCTTTCAGAATCGAGAATATGCCACTGAAATTAAAGACATGTCGGTGTAGATGAGCACTCCAGAAACCTTCAAAGAAGGATTGAGGTGTTGACTACCAGGATGGGGGTGTTTTTTAAGCTCAGAGTGTCACTTTCTTCACTCATAAAATGTAGTTTGGTAAAAGCAAACTTCCTTGTCAAGCAGCATGAATACAAAGTCTACGAGGTGGAAAATCTTATTTTTGATCATCCCTGTTTTTTAATATAAGTAAAATTTTTAATTAAAATCTCCTATCGGTTAAGGTCTCAGTGTCAATGGTTTGCAAACTGTGTTCCGAGGCTGGTGCCTGAGGAACTGCAAAGGTGCCATGGGGGAGGGAAGACCACTGAGCAAGGACAGTCTGACTCCCATCCTTGCCCATCCCTGCCCCCAGCTCCTCTCCGCCTCCCCCAATCCCCACAGGGCAGCTGGGCTCTGATTCACAGAGCTGACCCTTTTACATAAGAGGCTATTGGAAGAAAGGCTCCTCAAAGGTTCAGCATTATCCAACTGGTGTGCACCCCATCAGCCCCTTGCAGTGGGTTGGGATGGTGCTGAAATGGCAGGGCTGGGGTTGGGGTTTGGAATCTGACTTTTGCTTCCTACTCTGCCTCCTCCCAGCTCTGTGACTTCAGGGATGAGTTTTCCTCACTGCCCCAGCTTCCTCCTGCATAGCCCAGATTGCCCCTGATGTTAGTAACTAAGTCAGCTACGTAAATTAGGTAAATAAGTTAGCGAATGTGGAAGCCCCTCAATCCAGGCTTTTACTCCACCCCTCTAACTTCTCCCATCTCCATTTCCCAGGAGGAGCCGATCACCTTCTGTGAGGAGGCCTTCGTGTCCCACTACCGCTCTGGGGCCATGCGGCAGTTCCTGCAGAATGCCACACAGCTGCAGCTCTTCAAACAGGTGCCCAGTGCCCCCAGCATGGCCCATGTCCCTGGTGGAGGCCAGCGGCTGTCTCCCCACTGAGCTCTGGGCTACAGTCATGGCCGGGGCTGGGGCGGGAAGGGGAACCGGGCAAGGAGGGTGGTCAGCAACCGGACAGACCCTTTGCAAATCCACTGTGTGGTTTTTACAAGTGATTGCAAACACACAACTGGTTTCTTAGAAACCTGCTTTCTGAAAACTCAGCTCCAGAGGCCCTTCCCATCTCAGGCAACACAGTTGTGTTTTGGTCATACACCGAGGTAGCTCCTGTTTCTTTGTACACACTGTCGTGCTTACCTTCTCTCTTCCCGTAGTTCATTGATGGTAGATTAGACCTTCTCAATTCCGGTGAAGGGTTCAGTGATGTGTTTGAAGAGGAGATCAACATGGGCGAGTACGCAGGTGAGAAGCTCTCCACTCCTTGTCCATGCTGTGGGTTGCATGGGGGTCAGGGTGGGTCTCACAAAGGGCGGCAGAGCCTCTGTCCCTTCACTGGGGTGGAGAGAGACTGATGTCAACCTTGGCCTTGAAATGTTGGAAAACTATTGAGCTAATTCTTGTTAGGTACATGGGCCCATCTGAAACCTTCTGTTCTTGCTTCCCCTGGTGAGTAGAGTCTAGTTAACACAGCGTCAGCATGATGCACCAGAAAGCGGCTGAGGTTCAGATTAGGAGGCCTGGAATCAAACCAGGTACTGCCTCCTTACTAGTGGTGAGAACTTGATGGAGCCAGTTCAGCTTTGCTGTTTCAGCTGACTTTTCCTGTCAGTGCTCTCTAAGCGCCCACCCCGAGGGATTCCTGTGGAGATTAAGTCAGGCCCTGTGAGGACAAACCTCCCCCAGGAGCAGTGCACCCTGATCATCACACAGCCTCCGGACTCTGCAGACCTTAAAACTGGATAGATAATGCTCTGTTTTTAGAAGCTTAATCTGGCCTTCTACTTCCAAGTGCCCAAACCTCAGTCATTGGCAGCAAAGTCAAAAGTAACTGAAAAATCATAACTGTGAGGCTAGCCCCTCTTAATGCTGGGCATGCCTTTTGTCTGGCTGTTCTGATAATCCAGCTGGAGGCTCCTGGATTCATAGAGCCAGGCATGATCTCCACCTTTCAAATCCCCTTTTACAGTCTGCCCAGGCTGTGCTGCATGAGAGCACAATAAATCGATACAACCAGTGTGGGGTGTGTGGACAGTAACAGTGGATCCTCGATAAGCAGGTCCAGAGCCCCGTGTCTTACTGTAGAGTAAGAAGTGGGGGACTCCTCTGCCCTGAGTTTTAGACTAGCAGGAGAAAGAAATGCATAACTAAAGACAAATAAAGCTAAACCAACACAGAGTGGGGTGGGTGGAAACAGGCTTCCCGTGCGCTTCCAGGCTCTGTTAATTCTGGCTCTCTAAGTGACAGCTTCACACAGGAGCCAGGTTTGAGTTAACATGCAGACAACTGAAGCTGGGTTCTGGAGAGAAGACGGACTTCTGGTGGTGTTGAACTAAGTGGAGTCATTTGGGGCTTCTAGAAACACAGTCTACTGATAAGACCTCCCAGCCCACCCAATAAAATGAACTTTCCAGTCAATGCCTCCTTTTACCCGGTCACCACCCCATGTACTGTGTGTCTAGCAGCTCTCACCCCAGGCCTCAGGGACCCTTCCTTCCCTGGGGTCATGCACAATGTCAGAGGATGTGGACTTCTGTCAAAGGAAGGAGCCAAGCTAGTCCTTGTGTTAACTCTGCAGCAGAAAGATGAGGGCACCTGGAGGGCCAGGGCAGCAGCAATTGTGAGGGCCTGGAGGACCGGGAGCATGTGGTCAAGGAACGAAAGATAGTTCTTGTGGTTGGACCATAAGGTGGAGCGAATGGGAGGACAAGAATGGAGAGGCAGAAGGCAGATGGTAGGGAGGGCAGCAGGGTTGCTCGGGGTCTGCCTCACTCCAGTGGGCTACGGGGGATTTGGGCTTGTACTTGGGGCACAAATAGACTCAGATGTCCAAGAAAGAAAAGCTAGCCACTTCCTCCTTCAAGGAGTGGCCCGTGGGCACCTCCATGTGGCTCTCCAGAATCTGAACCTCGCCAGTCCTGCCTGCTGGAAGCAATTTTAGGGACTCCTGAGGGCACCCTGTCTCTTCTTTAAACAACAGCTTCTCTGACTCCTCTCTCCCCAGGCAGTGACAAGCTGTACCATCAGTGGCTCTCCACCGTCCGGGTAAGTGCCCCTCCCCACACAGCCACCTGGGCCCCTCCTCGGCCTCCTGGCAGCCCTCCACTTCCCCTGCCACCCACGAGGCTGTCATTAGGCCTAGAGCATTCCATTCTCTCAGCTGAAAATGCTTTTGTGTGTAAGCCCGGCCATTCTCATGCCAGGCGGAGACTGGCAGCGTGAGACCATCCAATGCCACCCTTTCGCGAGGGTGAAGAGAGCCAGGAGAAGCTTCCCTGTCTCAGGAAGCCAGCCAAGGCGTGTTGAACAGATGTTGTCATCTTAGGGCATTTCTAAGGCTCTCCTTCTAGGGCCAGAGCAATCGGGAAATTTTCATGGGAAAATCAAAGACTGCTTTGCTGCATTTTTCACAGCAAAGGCTCTAGGAAAGACGGAAAGATCACTGAGTTTTTTTCACCCCCTTACTTTTATTGTGAATAATTTCTTGTGTTGGAAACCAGGTGCATAGAGCCTCAGAATCACTAAAAGAATCAAGCTCTAGCCTTTTCCTTTGCTTTGATTTATCAATGAGCTAGCCCTACTATGTGCAGGGTGCCATGCTGGGTACTGGGGATTCAGGGGGCTTGGACAGGCCCAGCCCTGTGGTGCTCCCCGCCTTGTTGGGGAGGCAGGCAGGTAAACAGGCAGCTCTGACATAATGCGGTAAGTGTTCTCTCCGGCCTGTGGGCCAAGTGCACCGCTGCCGAGGCGGGGCCCTTGGAAGTGGCTGCACTTGGCCAAGAAGAAGCAATTCCTCTGTGAAAGACTTCTTTTGTTCTTCTTGTATGACCAAACACGGCTCTTGGCAAATCACAGACCAGCAATAAGGACTTGTTGATGGATTGATCAAGGGAGTTTTAATACTCCAAAGGACCATTGAAATAGGATACTTGGTAATTCTGGAAAGCAGTATGGAATAAATGAGTGGGGAGAATTTCATATTGTCCTACAACAGAATGCTTTCTAGGTCAAATGGTAATGTTTTTAATTAAAACTCCAAATTTCTAATACGGGCGGTTACCAAAGACTGTGCTCAAAGTTAACATCAATAATTAATTATATTACTGTAACTAATTCTTTTATGTATCCCCTGGATCCAGCCTGTCTCTCTGTTCGAATCAGTTGGAGTTCTCTTTCCAAACCACCACAAATCATATTGTGCACTTGATTAAAAACCTTTTAAATGGGGGGCTCCTGACCCTGGCCTGCATGAGCCGACCCCATCTGGCCTCTATCGCTCCTCCTCACGACACACCCAGCCACACCCTGCAACTTCCAAATTTTGCACATTTTCTCATGTGCTGTTTTCTGTCCCCACGTGAACAGTTCATCTTTTATGGACCAGGCCAAACCTTTCGTCCGCTCAAGCCATTCCTGACCTCCAGACAGCAAGCTGCCTCCACATTCCATGCACACGACCCGCACAGCTCTCGTCATTTTAGGCTGCAGTCACTCTGGTGCACCCCTCAGACTGGAGGTCTACAAAAGCAGAGACCAGCTCCCCTCGGAGCCTGTCACGGGGGTCCCGCAGAGAGCTCCCCTCACAAACTGTGTAGAGAGATGACACTGAGGAACGGGTTCATGAGCAAATGTGACACTGGGCTTTGGGCAAGGAACTAACTAAATGAAATATGGCGACACGCTGCCTGCCCATTCATTGCCTCCTTGGTGGAGGGGGAAGCCTTCCCTCCTCACCTCCTTGCCCTGCTCTCCTAAGGAGTCATGTTAGATTTATCCAAAAGCCGTGCTTGACATTTGTGGTTATTCATTCTTTTCTTTTCTCGAGGTTAGATGTTAAGGACAGCAGCCTAGCAGAGTGATTTAAAAGAACAGGAAAACCAGGGCGAGGGGAGTCTGCCCAGGGTAGCCAGACAGCCCTGGCTCATCAGGCCTCAGTTTAGTGTCAGCTGTAGAGGTCATTGTTATTAAGCTTGCCTTCATGCTGTCGGTGGTAACTAGAATTCCTTGAAGAGCCGTAGATTACTGTGGGGAAACCCCTGCCTCAGAGAGCCTGTGATGAGCTTTCCTTCCAGCCAGGATTCAGGTGCCAAGCAAAATACTGGGCCTCGGGTCCCCCCCTCAGCTAGTTATCCCCTGATCCCTAGCCTCCCCCGCCACCATTTCCCACCCATGGCCATTGTGCCACAGCCGTAACTAATTGCCTGGGCTCAGTTACCATCTAGGACTGTTTCTCTAATTAAATCACACACTCTTAAAACGTTGCTTAACTTGATTAAAGAGAAGAGGGCTTTGTTGGTGTTGGCCTACTATATCTTCAGTCCAAATTGCTAATTGACATTTTTATTACAGAAAGGAAGCGGAGCCATTCTGAATACCGTAAAAACAAAAGCAAACCCGGCCATGAAGACTGTCTATAAGTTTGTAAGTACTGGCCTCGGGATCCAGACAGACCTGGTCCTCAGCATGACGAGACCCTGAAATAGACCTGATCCTATACTGCAGAGGTGATGCCAGGGCCGCGGTGCTGCGGCCTGGAGGTCTGCTCTTAGATTTATTTAGCGTTGCTATTTGGCAGCCAGGTCAGTGTCACGCTTAATGTAAGGTGTGGCTGCCTGCAGTTGTCTCAATAGAAAAATGGGAGGCTGCTGCGTGTAGCTGTTAAAACGGAGACAGGACAGGGCGGCTGAACTTGTCCACGTCTGCGTCCCCGAGACCAGGAGATGCGGGCTCTTGGGTGTCCTGGCCACCCTTTCCCACATGTACCCCCAATATGATGTCAGAAGAAAGCAGCTCCTTTGCAGGTTACTCATGTGCTCATGGGGGGCACACGCCCTCATTTTTGCCCTGAAGTCTTCACCATGTCTCTCATCACTGCCCTCCAGGAAATGCATTGTTTGGGAAACTCGTGCCCAGAGCAGAGTGAAAATAGAACACGGCCCTTCCCGATGCTCCGTCTTTGACAAGCCTCAAGTATTTTTTCTCCTGATTCATCTCGCTCGCTCATTTGACTCTGAGCCACTAAGTGGGGTGGTTTTGTTTGGTGTCCTTTTTTAATTTGGATAGTCCTATGTGCTTGAATTATAGTTACATTAACAGGGCAGCTGGCTGCCCACCGAACCACATAGGTCGAGTGACACAAAATCCAAACCAGGATACTGGGCACTACGAAAGCCATGTGTCAGTCCAGGACATGAGCCGAGGCAGAAGCTGGTGCTGAGCCCTGCCCTGGTAAGAGGTAGTGGCTATTCTGAATCCTGCAGCCAGGAAAGCTGCTGCCCTCCTCTTGCTGGTCGCTGTCACCAGGCTGCTGAGATAAATAATTATAGAGAGCAGAAAAGGGGCTTTGGGAGGGGGGAAAAAGTCGGTGCCATCAAAATGCAGAAAATAAAATCTCCGTAGCCTCCTTAAGAGATTTTTTTTTTAACCTTTTAACGTTGTATTTGTTTTCATAGCCATTATGTTTTCGACTTGATGATCCCGTTTTTCCTTCCTTTTTCTAGTAATCAGAGAAGGTGATTCGCCACGGACTGAAATCAAGCATAGTCCCTGCTGGAAACAGAAAGGGAATCTTAACTTAAATTAATTTTTCATGCAGGCAAAAGATCATGCAAAAATGGGAATAAAAGAGGTGAAAAACCGCTTGAAGCAAAAGGTACTTGAAGTTCTTATTCAAAATGTATAAGCACCGTGTATGAAATGCGTGGCCACAAAAAAGTATGATGTGATCAATAGAAGACTGTTTGATACAGTGTTGTTAGCACACTTCAAAATGCATTACCAGCTGTCCGGGCGTTTTCACACTGTTATAAATATTCACAGACAAAAAACTGTCTTCAAATAACATTAAGACTCTGGCTTAAACCCACAAAGGCAAGCCAGTTCAGAGTTACCACAGTCTGCTGGTCCCTGGCCCACCCCACTGGGTCAGGGTTCACCAGGCCCCTAGAAATTGGTTCAGCCCCTCACCCGCCATCCCACCTCTGAACTCGGCCCTGGGGCTGGTTGTAGCCAAAACCCAGCAGCCCCTCCAGGGAAATGACTGCCGCCCTCTGGCTTACAAGTGGCCACCAGACCTGGGGCACAAAGGACAGGTTTGAGGAGGGCGCCTCCAACTCTTGTTACAGGTAGATTCACCAAGGGGAGCCCAGCAGGTCTCACCTGAGCTGCTGTCAGGACAGGGAGCGACTGATTGTCTTCTTGGACCATCACTAAAGTGATATGATATCCTACCAGCCGCATCCTGGCTAGGTCCCCTGATGTCTTCCCTAGGCCTGCACAGTGAGGCTAGCCATACAGGGAGGGATCTTGCTGTTAGTAGGCATACAGCCCTCTTCGCTAGTGTGGCCACCCTTCGTGAAGGGCTTGCGAAGGGTGGCCAGGGTGGAGCTTTCACATTCAGTCCTTAGAGAAACCCTGTAGGGGATTCGCCTTTCACCATTTCATGGTGGAGGACTGTGGTTCAAAGGCCAAGTAATTTACCCAAGGTCACACTGTTCAGTTCAGGATGTGATTCCAGATCCATCTTGGCCAGCATCCACCCTGACCACTGCAGCCTTCCTGAAACAAGTGATTTGTTTTCCACAAGAAGGTTGGGGACACTTACTTCATTATCCCCCTGCCCCCCCCTCCCAAGTACCAATTCTAAAAAGAGCCTTTGTCTGTCTCGGCAGCTTATTTCCAAAAAATTAAAAGCAGTTTTCATTTTATGAAGTCATAAAGGGCCTCCAATTAATTTGATACAGTCGAAGGAATTGATTCCCCTCTTTTAATTGGAAAATAATTTGCTCTAAGTGTTTAAATTCTGAGCTTCAGCTAAGAGTGAATTTTTAACAGCTGAGAATCAAATCCTGAAGTAAGAATCCTGTAATGTAAACCCAAGTAGACCTTAACCATGATCCGTTGCACCTAGCCAGAGACTGGCAGGTAGAATACTTTCCTTGAGTGGTATTTAAGTCCCTGGTGACTGAATTGGAGTGCAGATGTAAGATGGGGTGGTGGGGAACAGGGAGTTCTCTGCAGTGAGCAGAGATGGGGTTCCTCTTCAGGCACAAAACAGATACATCCTCATTGGTCCCCCTAATGGCCTCCCTCCACATCCGCATAAGCCTTGGACCTTTAAAAATTCTCCTTTTTAATGGTGCATAACATCTCTGCAAATAGCCTCGAAACAACCCAGATCGCCTCCTCCTGTACCGGCCCCGCCCCTTCCCTCCTGGTGGTGTCTATGGCAGACTCTTCCTCCCCTTCTCCTCTCCCCTGCCAGTCTTTTCAGGAGTAGCTTCAGGAGATGATGTTCTACAGAGAGTGTCAGTCCATTTCAGGTGACACAAATGGTGAAGGCATTTTATAGAAATGTGGCTTGTCACCATCGGACTGTTGACAGATCTATTAGTGCACCCTTTTCAATTTTCACTTTTCCCCCCTTCAGTCTTACAGATTTCCACGGACTTGATATTTTGCAGTTGTTCCTGGAAGAGCTCTGTTGTCATTGAAACTCTAGCGCTGTTCAGTGCGGACAGGCCTGGGCCCTCCGTTGTCTCTCCGGCTCCCTTGCCGGAGCTAATTTAGGATTTGGCTTCAGCTGACCCCTCTCACTACAGCAGAAAATATTTCCTTGGCTTTTTTGTTCGCTTCCCCTTTGCCCCCTCCCCTTTATACAGCAACCAATCTCTGAGGCTCCCCAGCTGTGTCGAGCGCAGACATCTCAAGTTGGGATTCTGCAATGAAATCGAGGCAGTTCCCAACAAAGACCCAATTTTCAAATGTGCCGGACTGGCCCCTGGCCGCCTCTAACACCGCGGAGCAGTGGTGACCCCGCAGATATAATCAAGAACCCCATCTTGCCCTCTTCGCTCTCGCCTTGGGTTTGAATTGCAAATAGAAAACGTGGGGCCGACCTGCGGAGAGGTCACCCTGGTGTGTGGCGAGCAGGGCCCCTCTCCAGCCCTTGCTCATTTGTGCTGCTGATTTTCAAAGGCTCTGAAAGAGGAGCTTCCAGGGTCCCTGTGTGACCATCGGCACATAATTGTGAATAGAGACTGCGGTGGGGCTTTATTGCGTACCTGCTCTGCTCCAGCCCGGCAACAAAAGAGGAAGGATGGAGAACATATTTCTCAGGATAAATGGAGCAGGGTGGCCAAGTTCTTCTCTAACTTGGTCTCCTTTGAAGTCTGACTTCCTCAAAATTAGGAAGAGGAAGAAATGGCTGAGATGCTACCCAGCCAGCTGTCTAACGAGGAGGCTGTGCTTTCCCCCAGAGCCTCCTGGCTGCTGGGAGAGTGTCACATGACCCGCCTGTGCCTGTCAACAAGCAGCAGCGTCGTGGGCAGGCTGGCAGGGCTGCCACCAGGACGCCCTGCTGGGAAGGGCTGGCCACACACACTCTCTTCCTCATTAAGGGGCATTAGATATTCACACAGGACATCATTCTTGTACCTGTTGGGGAACTCCTGAAAAATTACCTTTTTCCTTCAGTTTCAAAGTGATTTCAGCCACCGGCCCCATCTTTCAGCCCCTTTTACTGCTTCTCCATCTTTGACCTTGAAAAGATAAATCGACCCTGTTGATTTAGAGTCTCTGTGGTTGAAAGGAGCAGATTCACAGCTGGGTTAGCACAGGCCTGGGTTTCTGGCCCAACACTTCTAGCGTAGCAGAGGGAGCGAGGGAGTCTGTGCGGGGCAGGGCGATCCAGGTAGACGCCGGTGGAATAGACGTTTTCACACCTCATCACACAACTGTCAGCTCCCTGTCTCCAGACACATTCAAGTACGGCTCAGCCTCCATCACGGAAATTCCAACTTTAGATACTATTTTGATATCAATATTCATACTTTAATTTGCAATTGCTGTGGTGTGAAGTAGGTGGGGGAAAGGCATCTAAGAATGGAGAGCAGCAATCTGAGTCAGAGGGTAAGGCCTCTGCCTGGACCGTGTGGCTGCGGGAACAACGAGCTCGCTGCAGTGCTGACTGTGTAGGACGTTTACTGTGTGACCTTGAGTGAGTTACCAGCCCTCTCTGAACCTGGCTTTTCTCATGTATAAATGAAGGTAAAAGCCTTTTACTCAACTTGGAAGAATTGGAAGAGGTGCTGGGTTTAAACAATACTTGGTAGCCACACGTTAGCGGGAGTTTCTATTCTGTCAGTTTTCTCATGTCGCACATCTGGAGCTGCCAATCTGCCCAAGCTCCCATGTGCTTGTACCCAAGGACATGGCTGGCTTGGGATCACCTCCCTTTCGGCCACCCACACAGCCATCAGCACAGTCTTTCTGGAACACAGCTCTGAGTCACTCCCTTGGGTAAAAGCTTTCATATCATGCAAACCTTTCACTTCCTTGACTGGGGGTCTTGAACCCCGAGTTCCTCAGGTGGACCCTACTCTGTACCTCCCCTGGGCCAGGAATGCTCTGCTCTCCTCATCCCTACCCCCAGCCATCTCGAAGCTCCTTTGGAGACCAGTCCCCATTCAGGGCCCCTTCCATGGAAATCTGTCCAAGGATTTATTACATGGACAGGTCAGGCCTCAGTCATGATTTGGGGTTCCTGCAAACACTTAGGGGAGGAGAGAGACGTGGGCCTTTACAGGCCCCTGTGTTTGGCGGACGGTGGGCTCTGGTCGTGCTGCTCTGTCTGGGTCTTCCTCCTCTAACCATTGGGAAAGGAACAGCTCTACCCCTCCTGTCAGCTTCTTGGTTTTGCTTTTCTTTAATGACATTTTGAAGGTTGGGCTTTTTCCTGGTTAAAAACAGAAACACATTTTTTATCAGAGAAAGTACGACAAATCTGGCAAGAAAAAGAAAATAATCCCATTTTATAAAATGCGTTTTCGCTTACTATGTCTTGGTTTTACATATTTCCACGTAGTTTTATCTGATGAACATATAGTTATGACTCGATCCCATTGCTGGATACTTTAGTACCAAATTTTTTCTGGGTGGATATTCCTGTAGGTAAAACTTTGCAGGAATTCCTAATCACTTCATCAGGATAAATGTCTACAAATGGAATTCATGGGTCAAAAGATGTACCTCTTTTCGGGTTTTGATATAAATCACCGATTCGTTTTCCCACTAGGAGGGCTTGCAAGTGCCTCTTTCCCCTACCCCTTGCTGGCAGCGTCTCAGTTAGTTCTTAGACCAGTTAGTTCTTCTCTGTTAGTTCTTTCTTCATGAAAGTTGCCTCTGTTGGCTTCCTTATCTGTGAGGGCTCTGCTTGCAGATACAGTCCAGGCATGGGAGCCTATTTCCTTCTAGGGCCACTGCCACTGTCCTCTGGGGGCCTGGGAGAGAGCCGGTATCCTTCTCCAGGTGGAAGAAATAGTGAAGAAATTAGTAACTCTGTGGTGAGGTGGAGGGCGTAAGTCACGGGATTTTGTGAAAAGTCTTTTGCACCTTTGAATCTTGCAACTAAATAGGATTAATGCAAGCTCTGCTGCTTGACACAAACCTCTGTTTGCTTATTGGACACATTTGCCTTCCAAGTATTCAACTCCACTTCCAGAGCTTTATTGGAGAGCATGCAGTATGTTTAAGGCTCTGAGGCAGAGAAGCCGAACCCCCAGGAATTTGCTGTGTATGGTGGTAAGGAGATCCGTGCCCCAATCTAAGGCATAATGAAAGGGGTCTCGGAGGCGGTCACTTCTGGTGGCATGCTGAGCTCTCCTCGGGCTGCGGTGCTATTGCTGCTCTTGTTTGGGCTAGTTCAGCAGAAATCACATAGTGTGAGGGCTTCCACTTTCCAACCGTGTGGCCTTGGGTAAGTTACACTGTTGTGCCTATTTCCTCACTTATAAAAGAAAACTCCTATTTACCTTGGGATTTTAATGGAAACCAAGTGTGAGCGTGAAGGTGGGGAGATTGGAAAGACGCCTGCAGTGGTTGCTCAGCATAGTGCCATTCCACGTTTTAGATGGTGATCTTTCCAGTTCGCAGGGGGCAGGATCCCACCGTCCATTTGCACAGGACTGTAACACTTTTCAAAGCTTCCTCACATATCTCATTAAGCCCATTCTCCTGGAGGCTTTGAAGTTCCCTAAGCAGGTGGTGGTCTCCCCATTATAAAAAAGAAAAGAAATAGATTCAGAGAGGTTGAGTGAATTAGAAAGATCAAACAGCTAGTTAATGATAAAACCAAAGCTAGAAGATAGTGTTTTTACTTATAAGCTTAAACTGAGACACTTTTCCCAAAACTATCACATACATTTTTTCAATAGTTGTCATCATATATAGTTTTTATTACTAGCAATATTTTCTTACCATGTTGCCTTACAGTTCCATTTCTTCAATCACTTACACATGTGCAACATGTGCAAACAGTTCTTCCTGAACAAAAAAGTGAATTTTGTTGCTATTTGGCAAAATCTCATTGTCCTCTTGATCACCCCATCTGGATTCAAAAAGCCCCTTTTGCCCTTTGTTACTCTCTAGCGTAGAAGGAACTTCTCCCCCTTTGTTCCATTTGACCCAAGTTCCTTAGGGCAGCTCTTTCCCGAAACCATTTCTAATTGGCTGGTGGCAGCCTCTAGCATCACTGAGCCTCAGCCAGGCTAAGTCTTGAGGTTCCCCGGCTGCAAGTTCTCCCAGCAAAAGCAAGAAGTCATGGCCACCTGTGTTGTTACCAAGTGATACATAGTCTGCAACTGGGTGCATGGGCGATGGATGGATGGATGGATGGATCCAATTATACAGATTTATATATGCAAATCCATACACACACACTCACGATTATTCATATAGTACATATAGTACATTGTTGAGTGATAATATTCTAGACCCTTATATGTTGCATTAGCTACTTCATGCCTGCTAGCTACCATATCCCCATTTTGCAGATAGGGAAACTGAGGCTCAAATCTCTTACCTGTGTTTATTTCTTAATGCATTATTCAATAAGGGAACTGCTTTCCCCCATATGCCATCTACTTGACTGAGAACTTAAGAGCAACCCATGGACAAATCTTTATATGCAAAAATTAATGAGTGTTAAGGACATGTAATTAGTTGACCAAAATGTGTATTTGTTTTTGCAATGAAAAGAATTTGGAAGCCATATTTGTTATTTCATTCTGGTTGTGAGTTCTTTTTACTTGGGAAAAAATTATGTTTTAAATGTCTTTCATTTGTACATTTATTCTCTGTCTTGCTCCAGGGAAGATTTAAGCAACTTCCCTGACTTGAATAAAGTATGTGGTCCATAGCATACAAGTGGGCGCCATCCAGGTCCCCAAAGCCCGCAGGCAGAGTCCGCTGCCAGCTTAGCCGAAGGAGTCTTTCCCTGCCTTTTGCACTTTGGGGTTTTCCTTTCCTTGTAGTTTGACTTCATTCACCAAAAGCACAAGTTGACTGTAAATTTCCAAATTGAAGGAAAATGGCTTAGATTCTCTAAATATTCTCCAAGTCATAAAATCCTAAGTCAGACTTCAGTCTCTCCATTCTCTGCCAGAAAAACGAGGAGGAGGGAGCAGGAACGCAGCAGCCGATAAACAGTAACATCACCAGTAAACAGACGTGGAGAAAATGTCCTCGCTCGCAAATAATCAAAGTCATGCAAATTGAAAACCACAATGAGGTCTAATTTTTCACCTCTTAAATTAGCGATACAATTTGAAAACGATAAGACTGAGGAGTATGTGAAGCTGATAACGCATCCACTGCTGGTAGCTGGTGTAAATTGGAAAACAATTTAGTAGAATGAATAAAAAGCCTTTACAATGTTTCTGTCTTTTGACCTAGTAATTCCATCCGTAAGAATTTCCATAAAAAGAATTTTCTTTCCAAAAGAAAGAAAAACCGACATGTTTATCACTGTAGTGTTTAGAGAATTAATTAAAATTAGGCAGTTTTCATCCTCATTGTCCAATAGTAGTGGGATGCTTTATTAAATCATTGTCTATCTGCTCCATGAAATATTATGCATCCATTAAAATTATTACAATGATAATGTAGTGCTGAGGAGAAAAAGAGAATGTAAAATTATACATGAGCAGTGACTGCAAGTCGTTTTTAAATGTATGTGGACAACATGCATATATAAAAGTGAAAATAGCCACTAAAGGTGGACAGAGAAAGACTTTTCCCCCACTCTTATGATATAGGCTGTTGTCTTTGTAACATTTCTCTGATTTTGGTTTCTTTGGCCCTTAAAAAGTCAGAGAGCCCAGTGAGCCCTCCGTTTCCTCATCTTCAGCAGAAGGACAGGCTGTGCATCGCTCCCAGGGGAGGCCTCTTAGCTGTGGGATTTGGGGGAGCACCTGTGCTCACCATGGGTGCCATGACCCCAACACCAACCCCAACCCGGCTTCTCCCTGCAGGACATCGCAGAGAACGGCTGTGGCCCCGCCACAGAGGAGCAGCTGCCGAAGACTGCGCCGTCCCCGCTGGCGGAGGCCAAGGACCCCAGGCTTCGAGAAGACCGGCGGCCAATCACCGTCCACTTCGGGCAGGTACGGACCCGGCCCTGGGGCTGGTCTGGGTTTGGGTTCTTTGTTTTTAAAATCTATAGCACATGCACCAGAGCTCCACGGAGCTTTGCACATCTTCAAATGTTTATTTGGTGCAAACATGTTTGGAAGGTGGATTTTCAAGCAGTGAGAGGAGCAAGCCCGGCTCTGGTCATAAACTAGCTCCACTCTTGAATGAAGTCATTAAATGCAGCTGCTGCCTCCCCCACTGCCAGGCACTGGGTTTAAGGTGCCTCTGTTAGCTAAGCATCTCATTAGAACACTTTAGCTTCCCCAGCCCTTCTTTGCACCTCCAAATAAAAGGCAACAAGCGAAGCCTTAAAGAAATCAATTAGGAGTTCTTTATTAATGTACTTCCTGAAAATCAATATCAGGAGTCTGCTTCTCAGAGTAAACACTGGGCTACCTTCCTCAAGATCCAGCTCTTTAACCAAGTCTTTTCAACAATCTGAGCATTTGAGAAATTGTCTATGTGCCTGATACTTCTCCCCTTAAGTAAAACCTGCTACTCGCTATAGACGCTGAATGTTTTTTATGTATTTCCTATCTGTGGTTATATTTTGGGTTGAAAAAGATCGTATGCCCTCCCCTACTTCTGTGGAGTTGACTGGCCAAATTGTAGTAAGTCTTTGTCGTATGAGAAACGGTTCTGTTGGCAAACTATGACTGTAGCAATAATTTGCAAAGCTATTTATTTTGAAATCACCTGATTCTTTAGCCGCGTAGTAGATGGAGCCTGATTAAAATACTCTATGATTTTATAATAAATATGAGTGCTATTTTATCACCTAAAGGACTTGGAAACATGCATTTTAAATGTTCCTCTTTTTAAGACATTGATCAAGTGCCTACTTCGTGCCAGGCACTGAGCTATTTAAATATGAAGCTGTGCTGTGGATTATTATTATTATAAGGGGTGAGTGAGTTTGTTGGAACATAAGAATCTTCCTTGGTCATCAGTATTTGCAGTTAACACACCTGTGCATCTTGAAGAGGCTCACCCCCTTTTATGATTTTACTCTTAAAAGCGATATTTAAAAAATTGAGATGTAGCACAAGAAAGTAGTATCCATGGGGCATTGCTGATTATCTTCAAATCGTGGTGTTTGCACCCCCAAAGAGCTGCCTTCTCCCTGTGCCCCAGTTCCCTGCCTTCTCCCTGTGCCCCAGTTCCCTGACGGTGTTTGCTGAAATCACAGCCCCTGGTTGTCGCCTGCGTGGCATTCCAGAGCCAGCTTCCTGCTTTCCTTTGTCCTCATTCCTGCACACACTAACCTTCCCATGAAAAGAGCCCTCGCTGGAGTTTGGAGCCCATTACAGAGAAAGAGGGGGCGGGAGAGAGGGATTTCATGGTGTTAAACATTCCATTTTGAAACACAAAAAAGGAGGCCCTATTTGAAATGGAGAAAGACCTTCTTTCCATTTCAGCAAGAAGTAGAGATGCTTTAATGTCATTCCCAGCTAAATGCAGAATAAGAGTGTGTGCGTGCATGGGTGGGGGATAAACAATTAAAAAAGCCACCCCAAACTCTGTTGAAATAAGAGCTGTCTGTGCCTTCACAGGTCTGTAAACTGGAGAGGATGAAAGTGGCTTTTTTTCCCCGTTTGTCACTTCCCTCACGTGGCTGCCAGCATTATGCAAGTGTACAGGAAGGCAGGATTTTTTTTTAATGCATGCATGCGGATTAAGGTCAAGCCCCCAGTATCAGCCATGCAGCGGGCTGTCCCTTACAGCTGCAGCCGCAGAGCCTACCCACAGCCGCGAGATGCCTTAATTGAGACGTGCTGTCAAAGTGACAAACACATTTGCATACAGTCTACACTCTATTTATTTTCTCCGGAAAGGTCTACAGTCTGCTGTTGGTTGAACATTCTTAATCAGTTTGCTGTAAGTGAACTGCCAGCCAGCTCACTTGCGCCGGCCTCTTCTTCATTAGGTGACAGATTAGCTGCAGGGGGGGATGGGCCCAGGAAACCACAGACCCCTTTCTGTTAACTCTTTCCAGCTTCACGCCTGTGTGAGGTTGTCCTTCCCCAGGCGCCTGGTTTGATGGGCCCTTGACCCAGCCGGCTGGTTGCTAGAGCGCCCACTACTGGCAGAGACCTTGTATCTCAAGGAACAGAGTTCCGTTGGAGAAATGTTTGCCGCATTCTCCTGCCATTGTGCTGCTGTTGGTTTTTTTTTTTTTCACTCGATTATTTTTCCTTTAACAGATTCATGCCCACTTTTGCCTCCTTCTAAGCCATGATGGTGGTAAATTCATAGGTTGATGTATTAGCCCAGGTTTTTTCTAAGTCAGAGCAAAAGAAGTTCTCTAAATGCCCATGCAAGCACCAGGCCACCCAAGAAACCCCAGCTGTGTACATTCTCCTGGGAAATGTGTGTCATCCTCTGCCTGAGGAAGGGATCTTTGGCCACATTTGAGGGACCTAGACTAGGAGCACAGGGACCCGAGGGGAGCTGCCAGTACCATGTGGCCTATATGGGCATCTAGGACATTCTGACCCAGAGCCCACTCCTGGCCCCTTGCAAGGCAGGGACTTCCGCGGGTGTGTCTGTTGAAGCTGAGGCATCCCAGCAAAATAATTCAAACTAGCCGAACAGTGTGTGCTGACCTCAGGAAGACCCTTGCCGTGGATTTGCATTTCTGTGGGTTTCATTCTTCAAGGACCCTTAGCCTTCCAGTGGGGATGGGAGCTGCGAGGCTATCACATTCACCTCTCCCATTTGCGTCACTGGTGCCCACATCGCCGGCCAGGAAAGCTCCATGGAGACACTCGGCAGGTGGCAGGGTGGCAGAGAGCCCGGCAAGGCTGTTTGCGAGCCCTCGGCCAGCAGCTGTGCAGGGGAACTGAAAGCAGGGTGCTGAGGCAGGAGCCGCCCCTGCCAGGGAGAGGAGGTGCTCTTGCCTCTGTGTCAGCGGTGCATCCTCTCTCAAGTGTGCGATCGTCTTACGCACCCACTCACCCATGCCTTGATACCTGCCATGAAGTCCCTGTGGGGCATGAGGAGGGGGACAGACCAGCAAGTGGACAGTCCAACCAGAGTGAGAACATTGAGTGAGGTGCACTCAGGCGCTCTGGGGGCCCTAGAGAGGTAACCTCCTCACCCCCAGAACTGTTCCACAACTGTCCCAAGTTGGGCCTGATAATTGCAAAATATTTTGTCAGTAAACTGGGCACACTAGTGATTCATTTGTCCTCTGCAGCAGAGAGAGGTTCTCCCACTCAGCTTGTGATGGGCCAGGTCAATGTTTTTCAAACGAGAGCAAAATAAATGGATTTCTAGTTGGCCTCTGATCCTTAGCATGTATGGTTTCCTTAAAGAGTTCAAAAACCTCAAATAAATTGAGAGTGTCCTTGGAAAATACTTAGGTTTAGGGAGGCTTTACGTAACACTTTTTTCCCCTCCCAAGTTCAGAATCTATTGCAGTATAAGGCCCAGGAGATAGTAAAATGAAAATTATAATGCCAGGATTTTTACTGACAAGGCTGAAAGGAGAATACTGCTTCAGATCTGAGGCCAATGGTCTTGCTAAAACTTCACCTCAGAACTGAAAAGGCTGAGCTACTCCACACGGGAGCAAGAGACCCAGGCGCTCTCCTGAGCTCTGGCAGCTCCAGGCAAGGGGCCAAGCAGACGGGTGGGGCATGGAGCACACACTGCTCCTGCTCCCATGCTCTCAGAGGGACTCCTGCACTGGGCAGGAGTGGGCAGGAGGCCAGAGGAAGGCGAAGGACTCCCCCCACTTCTCTTCTGAGATGGGAATGGGTATGCCCTCCCTCCAGCAGCTGTGGATGAAGTGAGGCAGCAGGCCCTCCCCAGCAGAGCCCAGGCCCCACACCCCTTCTGAGAAATCAGCAGAGGTAGCGCTCCTGTGAAAGGGCCCCACTCCCTGAGTCGGATAAGAACAGCCACAAGGTGCTTTCTCACCTGTGCTGGTTTCCTTGCATTTCCCTACGCAGGCAGGTCCCATTGTACTAACAACTCCACTCAACGCAGTGGGCACGTGCGCGGACTGGGAGCTAATTCACTCACCACTCTGGGCTGCAGGCAATGCTCTCTCCTTCCCTGGCCAGGGGCTGGCCGTCTCAGAACAGGGGAGGACATCGTGGTAAACCCACGCCAGGGCCCTGAGGTTCCCCCAGTTGGTTGATTCTGCCAACAGAGTATTTGCTCGCCAACCTGACAAGCTCCTAAGCGTGCATTGGAAGGCGCCCCTATTCTCCTAGTCAAGCAAAGGTTTCTAAACTATGGAAAAGTTTAAAGTCAGCTCAAAGCCCAGTGAGGCTTCCAGAGACCTGGGGCAGCGGTTTATGGCCTCCCTCCCACCCCCCAGTGGCTCTGGCCTGTGGCTGCCTGCCTGTCTGTGCCCTTGGAGAGGCCTGGCTTTCCAAGGCTGGGTCGGGTCAGTCTTGTGCGGGCCAGGTGGAGCTGGCCAGTCAGCTTAGGCCTGCTCAGCACCTTTGACTCCAGTGCCCTGAGAAGCCCTTTCTGTTCCGTTGAACTTCAGAGTCGCATGTGAGTCCCTTCACCCTCCAATGCCTCCTAATATATCCAACAGATGTCCCCATGTCCCCCCGACACCTCATCCTGAACCTCCACCCCCAGGGAAGTCGCCTGCATCCAACTTCTCTGTCGGTGGAGGGCACTGCCCATGCAGGAGCCTCAGTCCCCTTGCCCCTCCCTCCGCCTGCCCCTCCAGGGCTCTGCTCGGTCTCGCTCCTCACCCCTCAGCACTGCTGTGGTGTAGGCTGCAGGATCCTCACCCAGAGTGCTCCATAGTCTCCTAACTGACCTCTGACCTCTAGACCCATCCCGCTCCATGTGCCCTTTTGAGGTCCACATGAAACGGGCCTGTGTGGCCACATCCGCTTCCTTCTCCTCGGCTCCCCTGAAGATTTCACCTTCACTCTGGGGGCACGTGAGGCCCTTTATGATCTGCCTGTCCCCACTGAGAGCAGGTCCCTTTTGTGAATCC